TATTATTCTATTCGTATTTTTAACACGTCAATGGCGACGCTAATATTAGAAAAAAAATCACATGGCCAAGGTAACTTTATCGGATAATTTAGTTAAAAATGTACCAAGAAAATTCGATGTATCATAGAATTTTTTATACAATAATCACTGGAAAAACACTATTTTTATGGCACAAATATATGACTGACTTGGCCCTGTATTAAAACTTTTTTCTGGTACTATTAATTAGGTATGTCAGGCATATATGTCTGACATGACCTGTGCAGATCTTCTTATCGTCAGACACATAACTATGGCGCTTAAGGTGTTAAACAGGCTTTTAAAAAATAGTGCAACTTTTCTCAATTTGTGAATCCTTTTACTGACCATATTTATTTGGCAAACTTAAAAAAATATGTTTTTCACAAGTTGATTCTATATAAAATTTTCAAATTAAAACAGTATAAAATGACGAAATAATCCCTAAATATTATTGTTGTTCACTAATCTACAAAATTTATAATACGCATTTTGATTCTTACAAGAGAAAGATGTAGGCTTGCGAAATTATTTCTTCAAAATCATTATGAAAAATAATAACTATTAGATACCAATTGCATGAAAAAATACAGTTCAATTTATTTATTTTATTGTTCTTAAAATAGAACTTAAAAAATATGCAACTTTTGCAAGTTAAAAATGTTAATTTCACAATGTTAAGAATATATCAATATGAAAAGATTATTCTAGTTCAAATGTACCAAAAATTTTTTAAACCAACCAGAAATAAGGTATAATTGTTCACGAAGTTATAGTACAAAAATGAGGACTTGTGAAATATTTGCTCTCAGAAATTTCTGAGAGCAAATATTTCACAAGTCCTCATTTTTGTACCATAACTTCGTATACATTAATATATAAAATTTTTATAAAATAATCGATTACATTAGATAATTCAATTTTATTTAAAAAATGTGTTATTCTAGAACACCAGTTTCAAAAATTGCGCAATAAGTAAACTTCCATTTTGTGAATTCTCTTGAAGTTCTAGGAAGAATCATTAGATTTTATTTTCTCAGATGTACACTTATAATAAAAACTATTAATTCAGCTTATAGCATTTACTGACTGCTAAATAAATTAATTAATAAAAAAATTATAAATCTCGTGATAAATAATATTTATTAGATAATATTATATTTATCAATTCTATATAAAGTTTTCAAAATCAAAAGACAACGCATCAAAACTCAGAAAAAATAAGTAAATTTTGCACTAAAGTACAAATTTACTAAAAGTGTATGCTCATTTTGATTCAAAATAGCATTTTGTTGTGAAATATAAATATTTTTTATGTAAAACATGAAATGTCTAGAGAACGCAAGTTTATGATATTAATGTAAAATTCTGTAAAATTAATTCACAAATCTAGGTTGCTCATCAAAATCATACATTATAATCCATTTTTCCTGCAATGGTTAAATCAGTGGTTTAAAACCTTTTCGCGCCGAATATGATTTCGTTAATACTTGATATTATATCTGTCTACAAATAAATATACAATATTATGTAAAAACACAATAAAAATTATTTATAATAAATAATAATTATTTATTCGTTCATTTCTTTATATCATTTCAACATTTTTGGTCAATTTTCGAAAATAGCATTTTGGAAACAGATGTAATGCTCTCCTTGAAACATTCTTGGGTTCCACGACCCGCCCCACAGATTAGAAACCACGGGGTTAAATGCTCGACTCGCATATAAGAGGTACTGGGATCGAATTCCGTTACAATGTAAGAATTTGTTGTATACTTCAAAATATACTCTAGCAATGCTAAAGAATAGCATATTATATTGTTTATATCTTGGAATGCTGTATATAACATAATAATAACATTATATGTTAAATTAAAATCATTAAATAGAATAGATCCTCACAGCCCCAATATCAAGCAGTATGTATTTATTTTCACATATATATGTACATCTAGAATATGTCTCTAAGTAAAAAAAAACCTGCACGGGCATTGCTACATGCAATTGAGTAATAAATCAGCCCTATTAGATAAATTTTAATAATTAAATGATCAAGTATGGATGAATTATCTAGTGGGTTATCATATAAAAAAATCACGTAATGAGAAGTACGAGCACATCAGAACATTTATAGAATGAAAGTTCTTACCGTTGCTGAATATTAACACAAAAAAATTAAATAAAATAGTTAAGGTTCTATTTATATAAAACCTTATGATATAGTATTAGGCTATTAACATGTAAAAAGTACCAAATGCTTTAACAAAACCAATAAAAAATTCAATTTTTCCACTAACTCTCATACTATTACCTTAGCACAGGTAGGTAGAATTTGCGGACAGAGGTGAGTACGGAATCATCTTATCAACGAACTTGTACGGCAACGAGCCGAACAGAAACGCAAGAGGAAAGAAAGTGCAAAAACAATATAAAATAATGGCATCGTTCTCACGCGAACGAAAATTGTGATCAGGGAATAAATTTCACCATAATAAGATGAATTTTTGGCTCTGAATGAGGTTTCATAACTGAAATAATACATGACATAAATATTGATACTTTTTTTTGAGTTCAGAAATATAGCAGACAAATAATCAAGAGATTTTTTTATATATATAATTAATAGCAATCAGATCTCAATAGTTTTATTAGGTTATTGTGATGACCATTCTTCTTAACAACATCGCTTATTAAAAGACAACCCAATAGTTAAAATATTTAATTTTTTTTATTGTATAGAAAATTTTACACCTGTCCTGAAATGAACACGTAAAGCTGGAAAAAAGACTTCAATAATACAAAATCGTCTGATTATTGATAGAAAATTGACATATTTTAATTAACATGAATTTCTAATTCTCCATTTGATGTAAAAACATCAAGAATATCTCTAGTCTAATACCTAAGATATAATTTTAACTTCATGCAGCAAAGCCATGGAAAGACTATTGTAATTTTTAAGCATATTTAAATTTGTATTTCTAAGTGAAAATTTGGGATCATGGAGTTGGATATTGAAACTGAAACCTTGTGGTTGCAACGCTTAAGCTCTTATCACCAAAAGCCCGATATTTAATTCAATTCAAAATTAACCATCGACAGTTGACTTATCCTACTTTTGATGTTTTTGTTATTAGAGTATTTCTAATACTAAGAAACAATTTTAATTTCATGTTGCAAAGCCATAGAAGAGCTATTGATAAGATATTAAAGTTTACATTTTCAGGAGAAAACTTGGCATCATCGAGTTGGATATTGAAACTCTTTAATTTCATGGAAGCAATACGCTCACTTATAAACATATTTAGATTTATATTTTCAAGTGAAAACAATGCATCTTCAAGTTGTATATTGAAAATGGTGGGTTGCAACATATTTAAATTGATATTTTCAGGAGAAAACGTGACATCATCGAGTTGGATATTGAAACTCTTTAATTTCATGCAGTAAAGTCACGAAAGCAATATGTTCCCTTATAATCATATTTAGATTTATATTTTCAGGTGAAAACAAATCATCATCAAGTTGGATATTGAAATTGGTTAGTTGGAAAGCTCAAACTCTTATCACCTGCCTGGTATTTATTTCAGTGCAAAAATAGCCATCGAACAAATCATCAAGTGAAATAGAACAAATTGCTCCTCAATATTTCAGTTGATTTATAATATGTTTCATAGATCATTGTCTATGGTCTCGAATTATATACCTAAATGCATATTCGATTGATAGTTTTTAATTTTGTTTAATAATGTATACTATTTTAGAAGATATTTATATGTTCAGATATGAGTTAAGCTGTACAGCTTAGCAAGAGAATACAAATGCTATGGAATATCAATTCGTTAAATTTATACAACAACCTGATCAACAGAACACTTTAGCATAAGATTAAATTTATAAATATTCATTGAATAACAAGACAATCACAACAAATTATAAGTTTGAAAAAATTAAACAAAGAAATTGCTCCTCAAGTTTTAGCATTTCATAAATTGGTTCATAGATCATTGACTATGGTCTCGAATTACATACCCACATTTCATATTTGTTCAAAAACGTTTTTGATTATGTTTAATAAATAATAGATAATATTTTTGAAGATATTTATATGTTCTGTTATAGGCTAGGCTGTTCAGCAAAGAGAATAGAAATATAATTGAATATGATTTTGATAAACACATATATATATCAAACAATCTGATCAACAGAATACTTTAGCATTGAATTTATAAATAATCATCGATTAACAAAAGAATTTGCTTCATATAATATAACTGGAAGTATAAATATATGAGGAATTGATTTGTTTGATTGATTTGTGGTGGCACTCACATCATGAACCTGCCTTCGAGCAGACAACCATTTATTATTATTGTATAAATTAGTTGCCCTATAATAATTAGGGAATGATCTAAAATATGCAAGTGCTAGAAAAAGTGTATACATTATTTTTTGAACAAAATACTAAATATATTATATACTTCACACAATTACATTAATTTGTTAACCTTCCAATTGTAATTAGTTTTTGTAATTGTATTCTGTCACATCTGTGAAGGTAATGTTTTTTGAAATCCATATCTTTATTATTTACTGAGTAGAATGATTCTGTTAAATCCGGCTTCTTGTACAATACATTGACGTATTTTAAAATCTATTTTTAAGTATATTATATTCAAGATATAGCTCAAATTTTTATGTGTATTACTTCGGAAAATCCTCTTCATTTTCTGGGAAATTTATAATAAAATAATGACTATAAACTTAATGAATGTGCATATATTTGTAAGCAATTTAAGCTTTAAATTAAGTAGATGTTCCTGTCATATAGACGTCACTTTGACTAAAGCCCACATAAAACTGATAATAGTAAATTAACAATACACATCGTCAATAACTTAGGTAAACAATGAGATAAAGACTGTAATCATAATAAATATTGTTTATAACATTTCCCATCATACAATTGTACAACATACCTGATAATAACTCGACTCCGCCATCTTGCACGATATGTATCCAAAAAATTATATTTCTGCATTCATGATTGCACAAATAACTAAGACATAATTACACTATATAAAAATACTGCACTAGTATTATATTTAACAACATTAAAAATATCAAAAACTAATAATATACAATGTTAACAAATCACAAACACATCACGCATACAAAAACTATGAACAACGCGCACGACTGCTGGCAAGGCTTGATTCGATATATTCGGCCTGCAACAGGTATCGAAAGAAGAAATCGATATTATTTGAAAAAATATCGATGTTTTCGTACGATAAATGAAGTTTAGCGAAGGATAGAATTTTTTATACGAAGAATATATAATTTTAATATATTTCTTTATTATATTTATTCATTTTATAATCATTTTATTCCTTTTCAAGCTGGCAAAAGAAAAGGTTATAACTTCGTGCATATTTCGTGTATTTTCGGAAAACAAATACGCCTAGTTTTTGACATTTAACATATCACCTGTGAAGTTGTTTTAAAAATTAACTAGGCGTATAAAAATTAATAATTAAAAAGCAAATATTAAATTAATTAATGTTGATATTAAAGAAAATAGTAATTAAGCTCTAAAGGTTTTATATAACAACATTTTATATAAATCTACTAGCACTTGTGCAAAGTCACTCAACAGTGTCAAAACTTTGACATTTCTTCTTCTTGAAGAGACATTTTTATTTCAAAATCTGATTATTAGTACATATACTTATTTTGTAAAATATGACACCTTATTAATACGAAACCATGTAAAACTACAACTATTATATATATATATATATACGAGGTCTGTTCAAAAAGTACCCGGAATTTTCGTTTTTTCAAAAAAATATTTATTTATTCGTCTACATTAATGTGGTCCCCTTTCAAATAGTCCCCCCCAGATATAATACTTATGCCAGCGTTTTTTTCCAATTTTCGAAGCACCCTTGATATTCACTTTTTGATATGTCCTTGAGCACTCTCACGATTTTCTTCAATCGAGGAAAACCGCCGTCCTTTCATGGGTCTCTTCAACTTTGGGAATAGGAAAAAGTCACACGAGCCATATCTGGTGAATTTTTGCACTTTGCAACACTTTATTTCATTTTTACGCAAAATTTAATACAAATTCTTTGACTTTTCAATTCTTTCCATTGTAAAAATCGCCGAGCTCAGAAAAACACGTCGAACCTTAGCGACTACCACAGACAAAGTAAACAGTGAATATAGCTGAAAATTTCATCATACTTTAGGGGCATGTATACCACACAATAAAAAAATTTTTGACAATCAGACACTCCAGACCCGCGAAATTTAATTATAGTAATTCCGGGTACTTTTGAACACACCTCGTATATATATATTTATCTGCTGTTCTATGTCTGCTAAATTTTAACCAAACAAATTTCTCTCTTTACCCAAATCTACTGATTTTGAATTTTTTCTGAGCAATAAAATAGTTTATATAATATTGCATTTTTACAAATACCAAAATAATTAAACTAGTATATATGTCCTTTGATCATGACCTATCAAATTTAAAAAATGTGTTCTTTTTTACCCGAGGCTACTAACTTACTTGAATTCCTCCTAAAAAATAAAATAGTTTATAATAGTTTCATCAATAACATGGTTCATAGAATGTTTACATGAGCCATATAATTTTTCTTTTTAAATTTTAAAAATGTATTGATAACATTCACCCTGCTTTTGCAAAAATTTTAATTTCAAAACAAACACAGTCAAATTTTGATTCTTTTTATTGTTTTAACAAATTGAATGCATATTATAGTATAAATATTCATACATCGCTGTATTCAAAAAATATTCTTATGTTAGTTCCTTATTACAATATTTAAAAGAGATTCTTAGATGTAATAATGCTTATTAATATATTAAGTAATTCTAATATCACATAATTCGTCTTGAGAATTACATTCTTATTTCGATATATATTATATGAATTATATTAAGGCTAAGTATTAGCAACTTGAAAATGTTCAAAACAAATTCATGATAAGAACTTAATATTAAGATTGTTGTAACATTTTTTATGCAAACAGCATATAAAAACAAAAATCAATAAATGGCAAAGTCAACAGATACATCAACAATTATTATATAAAAATCTTCACATAATTGATATTTATCAGTCTTGCTTTAAATCAAATAGCACTGAAATAAATACATTATATTAATAATGTTGAATTTTAGTTTAAATAGACATGTTACTGATTTGTGGCAAAATTATGCATACAATATTTTACTTATAGTTCTCTTTTTATGAAGCAAATTATATTTTCAACAACAATATTTTTGATAGTTAAAAAAATCAAAATGGAAGATTGAAAGTGATGATAGTGGTTTCAATAATTACCACATCAGTAAATATTTAGCAGTCTTAAATTACCTTTTATAATAAATTCATATATATATATATTATATTATATATCTAATATATTTCATTCATAATCAACTTGGAAGACTACAGTACAATTTAATACGATGTAATTCAAATTCAAAATTAAATATTATCTAATGTCTTAGAATTATTCACACATAAGTTTTCAATTATTTAATTACACAAGTCAATTAAATTGAGAATATCTTTTATATAATTATATTATAAATATTAGAGTATTAGTTATAAGTAATTAGTTGAAGATTGAGCACATTACAAACTATTATAAATGTAGGATTATTTAGAATTAAATAAAAAAAACATGCTTTTAGGTAGATATCAAATTCTGTAGGCATATCTTAACATGCCATGCTAAACAAATAAAATCAGATTCTTTATCACGATACATAATCTGAACAATTATTTGAATTCTAAATAACCCACTTCCAATATTATAATTTAAATAGCTAGTTTTGCTTTTACCTAGTCAGTTAAGACAACAAATAGAACTAATTAGAATAAATATGCTTGTTGCTTCAATATGTATAAAAAAAATTCAGATGCAGATATATCATAATTCATTATAAAATATTTAATAAATAAGTAAAATGTTTATCAATTTCTCCTAAATTGCAATAAATATATTCATCAATAAAACAAATATATTCATCAATAATTATTAAGTAAGCAAGCCAAAATGCACATTATAAGTTTGCTTAGATTATACAAAATTTCAATTAAGTTAATATAAATTTAAAATAATTATTTATATGTAAAATATAGGAACAAATTGAATACATTATTACATACATAGTGTCTATTCTGAATAGAAGATTGAATAAAATTCTTTAAAGCAAAATATAAGTACACAATTTCTAAAATTCAATAAAAAATGATTTTTTCTCTATATAATTAAAGTTTCGCGCAATAGTAAGTATAAAAATAAGTCTTTAATTAAAATATTATTTAGCACTCACTCAAACCTATAAAAGGAAATGATCCTATACAATATGTACCTGTTCTAACAATCCTAAACCATTAGTCCTCGCATCATCACCTTGTTCCATTTGTTCTTTTAACATTTCTAACTCCCGAATTCCAGAAATTGTAACTTCATATTTATGTATCATAAGCGATCTATAAAAGTGAACTGCAAAGGCTAAAACACTATCAAAACGGGGATTAAAACAATGCAAGCAGACCAAGCTGCGACTGGACTTAGATCATAAAACTTCACCCAGCACAATATAGCAATCTCTAACAAAAACAGTAGTAGTCCCAATAAAGTAGAAAAGCCCAAGCCGTTTCTATGTACCAATGTAATCTTTCATGCGGTGATTCATTCACTAAATTAATACTGTGCAAATTACAAACGGCTTCAATATTTGGTAAAATACATGTGCTGATCATGAGAGCTAACATGTGTACAGCTACAAGTAAAGTTGTGCATATAGCAAATGCTATAAGCATTGCTTCTGGAACCTTGGATTCGGTATTGAGTTGTACTTCAACCATAGCTACCATAGCAAAACCGCTCAGTAAGGCTGAGGTTTTGCTGCTCGCTTTCAGCTTGGCTCTTGACAGCTGAAGTTTTCTCCAAGACAGGTAGTCAGGGGTATGAAGACAGTCGGGTGCTTCAGTTTGAGACATTCTGTAGATGGAAGGCCTTGTTGTTCTTTCCAATCCGTTATAATAAAATCCAATGAGCGATCTGCCGTGGCTCCCTATATGTAGGGAAATGATTCAACCTAAGGACTATTGCTATAGAAACAGAATACTGCATCCAACACAGGAATGAATTATGTGTGTTTAAATTACACAACGACATATTATTAATAATTATTAACACATATTACCATTTTATAACATGAATTATTTAAGTTTTTCATCCGTCACGATTAAATGGTATTTTAGCTTTGCACACACAATGATATTTTCCGTTACTACTTGCAAAAAGATCTTCGAAATGTCAATTTCCATGGTAAAATAAATACATATTTAAATAAAAGCTGCATATCTTGACACTGTCAAAGCAAGAGACTGACTGTTGGATAGTTGGAACCGAATGACAGCAGTTGCGCAAACAAAATTGACAGTGCTCTTGACTATGTAAATTTTTTATCTGCACGGATAATTTATCGAAATTGTATTCAAAATTTAAAAAAATCAATCATCTCTTATAAATCAAACAATTACCTTCTGCAGAATTCACATTTTCACTCACACAAGCTTCAAAATATGCAGAGAATGTTATTCATCATATAGCCATACATACCATAATTTTTCCTGACGACATTTTTCATATCGTTTCATTTATTTAGTCACTCATGTTTCAAATAAATATAAAATACATACAAATATTTTTTTTATATTTTTAGCTGAATTTATTTATTTTCAACTAAATAAAAATTTGACATAAATGACAAGAAAATCGATGACAACCACCCCTTTTTGACAGATTGCATCATTTCAAGTATTATACAATTGCACCAACATAAAAATAAACGTAGGGGTCTTCCACACACGTCCACTTGCAAATATACACCTGTCATGCACCTGTCCCACCTGTCCATACAATTATAATATA